ACCTCCACCAATGTGAGTGCATGGAATATAGAAAGGGAATACAGAAATGTGCATATCAATTAGCCCAAAAACTCTATCTTATATACAGGAGCGAGTGGTCCGGATTGAAACCAATCCAACAGCTACCAAAATCCCACTACGCTAATATTAGTATATGGCATCGTAGCCGTACACTTGGCCCTCACACATCTATTTTATTAATATATTAATCACAGTATTGAATTTCATAGTTACAAAAATAAATAATAGTCTCTCACTAGCACTATTAATAGTAACAAAATCACCATTTCAATGCATATTTGTGTGGTACTTATTATTTCTTTATAATTGATATTAGAACTTATAAAATATATTAAATGTAATCTAAGTATACTAAACATATTAAAGTAATACGTTTTTTTTAAAATTTTTACACAATTTATTATATATGTTTCTGTAGAAAATTTTGACCTTCATTGACTTTCACTTCCATTGACAAAATGAGTTCATGATGTGTGTTGCCAGAAGATAATCCACGCTATAAAGGAAGTTCCACACACAACTCCAGCGTTCCAAAGAAGACCAGAGCATCCCTCCACTTGATTCCAAAGGCCAAATCTTTGAATTCCCTGGTCTTGGTTCCAGCCATTCCAAACGTTGTTGACACGCCAGGCAACCCTCGCTAGTGTCGTCCCCACGTAGAAAACTGTGGACAAAGCTGGAGACTGGAGACCGATGTTCGACCAGTTACGATATCTACTGATCTGTGGAACCAGGAAGAAATCCCTGAGCAGCTCTCCATATGCTGAAAACAGCCCCACGTAGTGACCGAGAAACAAAGTTCCACACGCCGTGATAAACGCATAAGCTGGCAAGCAAACCATCAAGACGTTTGTTTCCTCCACGATCCCGGGATGATTTTCTAGTTTCTGATCTCCATCCGAAGTCTCAGGCTCAGTACTGCTCTCGTCGTCTATCTCGGGGCTTCGTGCTTTCCAGACCAAACGAACCAGCTGCGAGAGTAACACTAGGGCGATGGAATGCATCGCCATTTGGAGGGATTTGCTCTCTTGCGAGCGACGTTCTACTGTCTCATGCATGAGATCCAGCCTATCTGTAAATTGGTAGCGGGGTATCGGTGTTGTTATCCTGTATGTCTGTGAGTCTATGAATCCCAAGCTCAAGCCCAAATTGATCATAATTCCTTGCGTGTGTGCCATGGCAAGGCCAAATAACATCACCAGAGAAACGTAAGGACGAGCTTTTTGTTGGTGATTGCTTCGTATAAGCTGGAATGTGATAGCCGCCACCTCGAGAGAGAGTGTCAAGGTTTTCACGCTTGTCTTCATCTTGTCCCGCTCCAATATGTTTCTAGCTTGCTTGGTGACCATCGAATAATTTGCAGAGACGTCGAAGGGGGAGAAGTATAGAGCATCGTCTTTGTCTCGCAAGCTGGAGATGGATCCCACAACAAGGCGAGGCTTGGTTTCCGAGTCTCGGGGATAATGGATCCGGACGGAGATTTTGCAATCCTTTCCTTGCTCCAAATCATGAAATGTATCGTTGTTGTCAACAGCTTTGCAACCCACCATGCATGCTGTTCCTCGACCAACGTCGTAAAAGCCTTCGGCGGCGACGTGGTGTTCTAGAGTGAGTGAGAGCAGCAAAGATATCGAAGCTGGCGTTCATTCGTTTCTTGTTCTTGATCGTGTCCGGGTACCAACGAAACCTGTTTTCAAATGTGAGAGGTGTTATGAGAACCTCATCCGCTGCAAACTCGCTTTCGGATGCTACAGATTCCGGAAGAGCTGCAGCCACCATCGTTGTTCCTTCATCAAGAGCGTATACATCTTCGATCGCGGAAGTTCTTCCATCGACGCGGAAATCATCGATAGACAAACCGTCCGGATAATCGGTTGCTTGTGGCGATGGATCCTTGACGAGATCACGGCAGTGTTTTTCAGCATCCTCAACTTTGGAGTAAGCGTAGACCTCGCGAGTGCGAACGAAGTCGAGGATGAAGTTTGAGGAGGATGCAATGTCTCCGAAAGAGAGTGGCTCGAAAAACATAGCATCCGACTTCGGCCTCAGGCTCGTGATGATTCCCTTGACATGAGATCTTTGATGAATGTCAAAGCTTGCCAAGCTCATGTCAATGCTTGCATGGATAGAACAGTCTGGCGCAGAAGAATCAAATGCCACAGTTTGACACGCCACCAAGCAGAGCTTCCCGGATTTCTCGAACCCTTCCACCGCGAGAACTTGGTCTTCCAGATATCCAGCTCGAGAAAACCATGCACAAGTTCATTTCCTTCCCTGGTTAGATTCAAAGCTAGCACACTCGGCGACCGCACGAAGATCAATGCTGCTGGAGTTTCCAAATGGATGACAACGTTGCGTGCTGCTGCTGCATTGACCGCTCGAGGACAAGAAGTGAACATCGTCCCTTGTCGTTAATGGCCGGCGATCAGATTCCTCCATGGTGGCTTTCTCCATAGCGTCCTTCGTCAAGCCTTGGCAGCCAGCCAATGCATCTTCGAGCCTCGTGTACGTATAGTTCCCTGCAGGATTTCCCACAATGTAGATCGGGCAAAAGTAGTAACCCAAGCTTCGAAGCTGACCCGTGATTACAGGCATGGCGGCCACCGAAGGATAATCTAGAGCGAGCGAGACCTTGCAATCTGGATGCGAACCATTTGAAAGTCTCTTGAAAAGGCAGACCTTTGCAAGCAGCTGCCTGGAGGTAGAATTAAACACTCCCGTGAATGACCCCTGGGGTAGAGAGTGATCCAGAAACTACACCATTCTTCAAGTTTTTGGATCCCGAGAGCCTAAGAGCTGTATGGCCTTGGTATACCAAGGAGCTGTGAGATGATGGATACAAGTAAAGGAGCTCCTCGAAGGGCAAGCTCTCGTCGTTCGATTCAGCAGTGGCCAAAGAGTGCATACCTTGGAGGAAGCCAAGCAGGAAGACTACATCCAAGACACGGATGAGAAGCGCCATAGCCATGGATCCTGGTTTGCACACCGCGAAAGGAATATGGTCAAGTCAACAGAATGCTGCTTGAAAGGCTTTTTGACTTGACCATGACTTCTTTAATGCTTTAGACCCAAAATGCCTATCAAGAGTCAAGACTGTCAATTATTGTGGACTTCTAGCTTGCAAATATCATGCGAATCCTTGACAATCACAATAGAAGAGTACTCCCATGATCGGTGGATCAATGGACCAATCCGGGAATTATAGTTTGTTTGAGGGAGATTTGGGAGATTGTTTGACGCTGTTCTAGCGCCGTGCTCGAACATTCTAATTACTTTTCACGCTGGCAACCAAAACAATTCGTGTTTTGCTAGAATAGGATGGCATTCAAAATAACATAATTTATTGTATGTAAGGTTCTCGTGGACTGCGATAGCCATATGCTTATAAGCTCTGCATCGATCCATTCTTGAGCAGTCCAGAGTGGGAAGAGAGAGCTAGGAAATCATGGGATCCTTGCAAACTTCTAGTGATTCTTCCTCCCCCAGTAGCAAGATCCATGTCATGGCGGTTCCACTCCCCGCGCAAGGCCATATGTCCCCAGTTATCCATCTCTGCAAGCTCATCGCTCGAGATCCAAGCTTCACGATCTCCTTGGTCAATGTCGACAGCCTCCACGACGAGTTCGTCAAGCACTGGGTGGCGCCGGCGGGGCTGGAAGATCTGCGCCTCCATTCCATCCCATACTCGTGGAAGCTCCCACGAGGAGCCGATGCCCACGCGCTGGGAAATCTGGCGGAATGGTTCACGGCATCCGCGCGAGAGCTCCCAGGCGGCCTCGAGGATTTGATCCGCAAGCTCGGCGAGGAGGGTGATCCGGTCAACTGCATCATCTCGGATTACTTCTGCGATTGGACCCAGGATGTGGCGGATGTGTTTGGCATCCCCAGGATCATTCTTTGGTCGGGCACTGCGGGATGGACGAGCTTAGAGTACCACATTCCAGAGCTTCTGGAGAAGAATCACATATTTCCTGTCGGAGGTATGAATCTTTAAATTTACCTCAAATTTCCCCTTTTCTTCCCTTCTTGGCTGATCGATTCGCGCGTAGGGAGGGACGATTCCGTGATCATCGACTACGTCCGAGGAGTCAAGCCGCTCCGCCTGGCCGATGTGCCCGATTACATGCAGGGCAACGAGGTGTGGAAGGAGCTTTGCATCAAGCGCTCCCCCGTCGTGAAGCGCGCGCGCTGGGTCCTCGTCAATTCCTTCTACGACCTCGAGGCGCCCACCTTCGATTTCATGGCCAGCGAGCTCGGGCCTCGATTCATCCCCGCGGGGCCACTGTTCTTGCTCGACGATTCCAGGAAGAATGTGCTGCTTCGCCCGGAGAACGAGGATTGCCTTCGCTGGATGGATGAGCAGGAGCCTGGATCAGTGCTCTACATCTCGTTTGGCAGCATCGCGGTGCTGAGCGTGGAGCAATTCGAGGAGCTCGCGGGAGCTCTCGAGGCATCGAAGAAGCCATTCTTGTGGGTGATTCGATCCGAGCTCGTGGTCGGCGGACACTCCAACGAATCTTACGATGGGTTTTGCGAGAGGACCAAGAACCAGGGATTCATCGTTTCTTGGGCGCCACAGCTGAGAGTTCTCGCCCATCCCTCCATGGGAGCGTTTCTCACTCATTGTGGATGGAATTCCATCCAGGAGAGCATCACACACGGGATTCCAATGCTGGGGTGGCCTTACGGAGCCGAGCAAAACACCAACTGTAAGTTCATAGTGGAGGACTGGAAGATCGGGGTTAGATTCTCCAAGACCGCGATGCAGGGATTGATCGAGCGAGGAGAGATCGAGGACGGCATAAGAAAGGTGATGGATAGCGAGGAGGGGAAGGAAATGAAGGAGAGAGTGGAGAACTTGAAGATCCTTGCCAGGAAAGCCATGGACAAAGAGCATGGGAAATCGTTTCGTGGCCTCCAAGCGTTCTTGGAAGATCTCAAGGCTTTGAAGCTCCATCACGAGTGAGTGAAACCATTCATTCACTGAAACTATTATTTGAAAGATTTATCAAGATAAACAATGTACCAACTTTAATCAATGCCGGTTTCTTCCTCACCAAGGGATGTCGCATGAGCATTGGAAAGCAAGACGTAGAGCGCAGGACTAACTTCCGGTGCCAGAGTTTCCATCTCTGCGGCGATCCTGGCTGCTCGATCCGGATCCGAGTGGCTGTTACACGCCGCTAGCAGCATCATCCAGGACATGGTAGCACTATCTCTTCCTGGGTGATCATCCCGCAAACTAAAAGGCATGCTTGCCACCAGTTGCTCGGCCACTTCCAGCATCCCTGCTCGTCCGAAAAGATCCACCATGCAACCGTAGTGATCCACACCATGAGCAACGCCATAGCTGTGATGCATCGACGTGAAAACCTCCCAGCCTTGTCGGAAGAGCCCTGCGTGGCTGCAAGCTGAGAGAACAGCCACGAAAGTTATGGCGTCGGCTGGGAATCCGTCCCGTTCCATGAGCCACAGAAGCTCGAGAGCGTAGTGCGAGCGTCCATTGTTGGAGTAGACGCTGATCATCGACGTCCAGGAGATTGTGTCGCGCTTGAGCATCGAGTCGAAAACTTTTCTCGCCGTTTCCACTCGTCCACACCTCCCATACATGTTGACGAGCGCGGTGGAAACGCTCACGCTCAAGTGGAAGTTCACGGCCGCCGCGTCGCTGTGAATGCTTGATCCGTCCGAGAGAGCTGCCAGATCTCCGCACACGTCAAGGACGATCAAGTACGTTGCCTCGTCCGCTGGAACTCCTTCCAAGTCCATGACTTTGAAGAGATGTAGCGCCGCGTCTTGCTGCTCGAATCTACACAGGCTTGAGATGAGAGTGTTCCAGGAGACCGTGTTCTTCTCCGGCATCTCCTCAAAAAGTGATTTTGCGGCGTCCAAGTCTCGGCACTGGGTGGCGACCGCGATCATGGTATTCCATGCGACTATACTCCGAGAGGGTGCGTTTTCGAATGCTGCTTTAGCTTCTTCCATTTTTCCGGAGCGAGCGTAGCCTGAGATGGTGATGTTCCATGATATCATGTCGTGGCTGCTCATCTTGTCAAATACCTCCCTGGCCCGGCCAGCGAATCCCTCCTCAATAAAAGCTTGAACCATCGAGTTCCAGCTGAGAATGCTCCGGTGAGGCATCCGGTGGAAGATCGACGTTGCCTCTTTGAGCTCGCCGATCTGGATGTAAGACGCGAGCATCATCGACCACGTCACAACATTTGGTTCTGGATGTTTGCTCAGCAATCTCTTTCCATCTTCAAGGAACCCTCTGCGAATAAATCCTTGGACCACCGAGTTCCAGCTTGTCACGTTCTGGCTTGGCATTTTCTGGAAAACCATTCTTGCTCGATCCGCATCTCCGGTCTGGCAGTAGGCCGCCACCATTGCGTTCCACATAACAACGTCTCGAGTGATGTCCTCGTCGTGAAACAAGCGCTCCGCGGCTTCGATGTGTGCGTTAAGAGCATAAGCCGAGATCATCACAGTCCACGACGAGACGGGCTTGTCTTTACATGGCATCTCCTTGAACAGCTTCTCGGCCTTGTCCAGGAAACCATTCTTCGCAAACGCTTGAATCATTGTATTCCACGACACGGAACTCTTCTCGGGGATCTCGTCAAACAATAGCTTTGCATCGTCGACTTCTCCTAGATCGACATACGCTGCCAGCATGATGTTCCACGACACGGTGTTCACCTGTGGTGTCAGATTAAAGGTTTGTCTCGTCTCCCTGGTAGAGTCGTTCCCGGCTGCACAAACTGCGAGTAGCGTGTTCCAGGAGATCACGTCTTTGCGAGGCATCTGGTGGAAATCCACCTTGGCTTGCTCGGCTTGACCAGCGAGAAAGTAAGCTTGGAGCATGGAGTTCCACGAGACTGTGTTCTCCACAGGAACAGCGTCAAACATTCGTTTCGCGTCCTCCACGCGCCCATTCTCCGCATAGGCCGTGAGCATGGTATTCCACGAGAAGAGGTTCCACTGCGGCATCTTCCGAAACAGCGACTGGGAGAGTTCTAGCTCGCCAATCTCGCCATAAGCCTGCACCATACCATTCCAGGTGAGAACGTTCCTGTGAAGCATGGAATGAAACATACCGATCGCCTCGTCCATGCTCCCGTGGCGAATGCTCGAGGAGATGACGACGTTCCAGCAGACAGCATCCCAGCTCGGCATCTTCTCCAGCAGCGTTCTCGACGAAGAAAGATGTCCTCTCTGCCCAAATGCAGTCACCAAGGCCGTCCAAGAGAGAACGTTCCTCGTCGGCATTTCTCGAAACACTTCGCCCAGGCTCTGGAGCTCACCGTGCTGCGCATACGCATGTAGCATTGTGTTCCAGGACGCTAGATCCTTCTCGGGCATATCCTCAAAGCAAACCTTTGCATTTTCCAAATGACGCTCTTGGGCAAGTGCTGCGAAGATGGAGTTCCAAGACACAACATTGCGACCCGGCATCTTGTCAAATATGTTCTTGGCTACGCCAACTTGAAAGACCTGTGCAAATCCCGCCAAGAGTGTGTTCCACGACACAACGTCGCGATGCGGCATCTGATCGAACAAGTTCCTCGCTTCGCCAGGATGCCCGTTCCTGGAAAATGCTGCGAGCATGATATTCCACGAGAAGACGTTGCGGTGATGCCAGGGAATGGCACTGAAGACGCCCCACGATTCTTCCACGCTGCCACAGTTGCCATACATCTGGACAAGGAGATTTGCCGCGTAGGCGTTGTCGCAGCAGCCAGCAGATATCATCCGCGAGTGGATCCATCTTCCCTCGGCAAGAGTGGCGCATCCACGAAGCAATGTAGCAAACGAGCCCAAATCCTTTCCAATCCTCTCTGGGCTACTGGGCATGCGTCTCTAGGGAGATGGAGAAAGACCCATGTAGATCTCTACCATTCCATGATAGAAACTTCTTTTATTTCTGGATTTCACTGCTTTCGCTCACTCACGATGGATCTTTCAAACTTTTGAGATCTTCCAAGAATGCTTGGAGGCCACGAAACGATTTCCCAAGCTCTTTGTCCATAGCTTTCCTCGCAAGGGTCTTCAAGTTCTCCACTCTCTCCTGCATCTTCTTCCCCTCGTCGCTATCCATCACCTTTTTAATGCCATCTTCGATCTCCCCTCGCCCGATCAATCCCTGCCCCACTGTCTTGCAGAATCTAACCCCGATCTTCCAGTCCGCGACGATGAACTTAGAGTTCGTGGTTTGATCGCCCCCGTAAGGCCACCCCAGCATTGGAATGCCATTCGCGATGCTCTCCTGGACGGAATTCCATCCGCAGTGAGTGAGAAACGCTCCCATGGAGGGATGGGCGAGAACTCGCAGCTGTGGCGCCCAGGAAACGATGAATCCCTGATTCTTGGTCCTCTCGCAAAACCCATTGTAAGATTCGTTCGAGTGACCACCCACCACGAGCTCAGGGCGAATCACCCACAAGAATGGCTTCTTCGATGCCTCGAGAGCTCCCGCGAGCTCCTCGAATTGTTCCACGCTCAGCACCGCGACGCTGCCAAACGAGATGTAGAGCACCGATCCAGGGTTCTGCTCATCCATCCAGCCAAGGCAATCCTCGTTCTCGGGGCGAAGCACGACATTCTTCCTGGAATCGTCGAGCAAGAACAGTGGCCCCGCGGGGATGAATCGAAGCCCGAGCTCGCTGGCCATGAAATCGAAGGTGGGCGCCTCGAGGTCGTAGAAGGAATTGACGAGGACCCATCGCGCCCGCTTCACGACGAAGGAGCGCTTGATGCAAATCTCCTTCCACACCTCCTGGCCCTCCGAGGCCAGCAGGTAATCGGGCACATCGGCCAGGCGGAGGGGCTTGACTCCTCGGACGTAATCGATGATCACGGAATTGGCCTCGTCCGGGGAAGCTTTCCCTGCGTCAACAGAGGAGGTTAATTCCAAAGGGAAGAACAGGGGAAATTTGATGGTATTCCAAAGGAAGAACAGGGTAAATACAAGGGAAGAATTGGGGAAACGTTTAATTCCAAGGGAAGAACAGGGGAAGAATAGAGATTCGTACCTTTGCTTGGAAAGATGTGATCTTTCTCCAGAAGCTCTGGAATGTGGTACTCCAAGCTCGTCCATGCCACGTTTCCCGACCAAAGAATGATCCTGGGGATTCCAAACACATCCGCCACATCCTGGGTCCAATCGCAGATGTAATCCGAGACGATACAGCTGACCGGATCGCCCTCCTCGCCGAGCTTGCGGATCAAATCCTCGAGGCCGCCGGGGAGCTCTCGCGCGGCTGCCGTGAACCAGTCCCCCACATTTCCTGCGACGTTGGCGTCGACTCCTCGCGGGAGCTTCCACGAGAATGGGATGGAATGGAGGCGCAGAGCTTCCAGCCCCGCCGGCGCCACCCAGTGCTTGACGAACTCGTCGTGGAGGCTGTCGATATTGACCCAGGAGATTGTGAAGCTTGGATCTTGGGCGATGAACTTACAGAGATGGATCATTGGGGAGATATGGCCTTGCGCGGGCGCTGGAAACGCCAAGACATGGACCTTGCGAGAAGCCATGGTTTCCTTGGCAGGGTTCATTGGTATTTATTAGAATGGTTTTCTTGGCGGGGAAGGCAACGTATGGCGTGCAATTCGTAGGCAAATTTCACTCACAATACAATGTCCATGTGGCAGTTTTCTATTGGTTTAGCATTAAATGTCATCTGGATGCCTCATGGATACCCCATGGATGCTTGCTTAATGCGTCAATGATGTCCCCATAATATGAACAATGGGCTAGATATAGATGCCACATATCATCAAGTTTGGATTCATCGGGTTTAAGAGATGCTTCCTTGCACTTTAGTGCTCTGTTATTCTATGCTCTGTACAATCTGTTATTGGCTATGGTGTAGGGGATATTTTGGGTGGTATGGAGAGCTGTGGTGCTGCTAGGGATTGATAACAATGGTTGCGATCACGGCTCCAGATTCCAGTGTTCTGGAGTGATTCCATCACTCGTCATCGCCTTCTCCCCTGCCTTGCCATCCAGCTCATCCCCAGCAGCTCCAGCTTGGCGACCTCCATCCTCAAGAATCACAGTGCAAGACGGAGGAAGCAAGAGGATTCAACGATTGCCTAGATGCTGTGGCGGGTAACAATGGGAGCATCAATGATTGCGAGCAGCACAGCGGCAGTCGGCAATGTGGGGAGGACACAGCGATGGCTGTCGATGACGATCAAGGCTGCCACACTCCCAAATTCTAGATGGAGTTAGATGGAGTTCACTTACACTTGCTATGACACTATGTTAAAAAAGGTGTGCCAAAAAAGGATAATTTAATTCTTTTGCCATGAGCGCCAAGAGCAAGATGTGAGAACATAGTGCTCTAGATAAGGTAGTATGGTATGCAATTTAGTCGATTGTCCATTTGGTTTGCAACATTACGAATGCATGGGTGAATGGGTCTATGGGCTATGAATGGCTCCATTCCATACATAGCATGGGTCATTGCTATGGGCATGATGCCCCATCTGGGGCATAAAGATTGGATATTCGTAAAGTATTCTATGCTTGTGTTTTTTTCACACTCATAATACACATGGACCAATAACAGGCATACACGTGGTGTGAGTGAAATCCACTGTTGTAAAATCCACCCTTTTACAAATTGCACGCCATACAACGGATGTTTACACAAGTTGATTTCTCGACAAAGAGCGAACCCTAGGCCTGCAAAACTTATACAAAAGGAAGATTAGCATAAGCGTTGTGAGAGGCAATTCTGCTCTAGAACGAGACTCACATTGACCCAAATTGCAAGCTCGCTTCGGATCCATTACAGCTCCTGAATTTGAACAATCAATGATCCTATGGATAGCTGCCGCATGAATCTTGAGAAGGTGGCAAAAATCTGTCCCTACACCTGGCGGCTGGGAAGCTTCCAGCCTTTGAGAATATGGTAAGAGCATTTAACATTGGAGCAATCAGATTCATGAGTGCTGCTCTTGTCCACAAAATGGCCGTGGCTAAGTCCAGCCTAAAATAAGTGCATGATTATCGATCAAGAGAACGCTCGTTGTCTTCTCTTTGGCTGGAAATGATGCCTGGTCTGGGCAAATGCAAGTTAGCAAAGATTCCGAGCAACAATACTGTACTCAAGCATTTGTAGAGTTTTTTTTTGTAAACATCGAAAATCCCAAACGTTTTCATGTAAGTTTTAATTAACTAAGTCTTACAGTTCTTTTGCATCTGCTTTTTTCCTCACCAGAAATGTTACATAGAGCACATAACTAATGTCCATTTGCTTTGATTGTAACTTATGGTCAGTCACTAGCAATAGAGCATTCTTGAACAATTTTGTCAAGTAATCTTTGTTTGTTTGCTCAGCCATTTCCAACATTATCCAAATCCCAAGCACAAGCGTTTTACTTGACTAGCATGTGTTTATCTTCAGAACTGATAGATAGAAAGTTCTTATCAAAGAATGCATCGTTCACTCACTTGCGATCCAGCTTCATAGCTTTGAGATCTTCCAGCCATCCCTGGAGGCCACAAAACGACTTCCCATTCTCTTTGTCCATAGCTTTCCTCGCAAGGATCTTCAAGTTCTCCACTCTCTCCTTCATCTTCTTCCCCTCCTCGCTATCCATCACCTTTTTTATGCCGGCCTCGATCTCTCCTCGCTCGATCAATCCCTGCACCACTGTCTTGGAGAATCTAACCCCGATCTTCCAGTCCTCCACTATAAACTTACAGTTGGTGTTTTGCTCGCCCCCGTAAGGCCACCCCAGCATTGGAATGCCATTCGAAATGCTCTCCTGGATGGAATTCCATCCGCAGTGCGTGAGAAACGCTCCCATGGAGGGATGGGCGAGAACTCTCAGCTGTGGCGCCCAGGAAACGATGAATCCCTGGTTCTTGGTCCTCTCGCAAAACCCATTGTAAGATTCGTTCGAGTGACCACCCACCACCAGCTCAGGTCGAATCACCCACAAGAATGGCTTCTTCGATGCCTCGAGAGCTCCCGCGAGCTCCTCGAATTGCTCCACGCTCAGCACCGCGATGCTGCCAAATGAGATGTAGAGAACAGATCCACGCTCCTGCGCATCCATCCAGTGAAGGCAATCCTCGTTCTCGGGTCGAAGCACCACATTCTTCCTGGAATCGTCGAGCAAGAACAGTGGCCCCGCGGGGATGAATCGAGGCCCGAGCTCGCTGGCCATGAAATCAAAACTGGGCGCCTCTAGGTCGTAGAAGGAATTGACGAGGACCCAGCGCGCGCGCTTCACGACGAAGGAGCGCTTGATAGAAATCTCCTTCCACACCTCGTCGCCCTGAAGGTACGTGGGCACATCGGCCAGGCGGAGCGGCTTGACTCCTCGGACGTAATCGATGATCACAG